GAGGGGAATCCATTTAAATGAGCTGTAATTGCTTCAGTGAGTGTGGAAAGGTATCATTGCATGATTTCCTAGATTCCTTCAAGCAAAATATAAAGGTTTGGTTTCAAAAGATATGGTTGAGATGGTGTTTAATCTGGACTTGAATCATGGGCTTACATGGCTGAAACAGTTGGGTTGAAGTATTTGGATCTAGAAAGGAATGAGTCTGGCCTGTTTAAGCTTGATCCATGTTTTGAGGGCTGGGGTAATAGGTTCTGGTCCACACTAAGTGCTAATCGTAGCTGATGGGCTTGGTCTACTTTTTAGTGTAGAAGGCCCACTGACTTTGGTCTTGAAAGATGGCACACGCTACATAATTATTCTCAACGGGTGTTGTTCTCTCACTTCAGAAGCCATTCTATTCCGGCTCCCACTTTTTATGATTTAAATTTTGTCACATTTGTACTCCCGGCTATAAGGCCACAGGTGACTACAAAATTATAGTGCCAGCTCAATCAGTGATCGAAGCACCACAACAAGTCCATTACTCTCTGCCCAAAAAAGAAAAAAGATCTATTTTAAGAATTTATGAGTTACAGTTTCTCAAAAGAGATTTTCTTATTTGAGACAGAAGAAGTACAATAGAAATGCTAAAAGCCTAACCACCAACAACATTTGAATAGCAAAAACATATCATCTTCTCCGAGTGAACCAGCCATTAGTAGAAAGACTTCGTATGAATTTATTAGTTAGAATGTGACCCAAATAAGACTATATAAATATATGAGTGTCACTTAATCTAATTATAGGTTTTTTGTTTTTAGTGATAAAAATAGATTGAATTAATCTTTTTACATTCTCTCCAATTTTTTAATTGAACTGAATTAAGTAATCATTAAACTCTCTCTCTCTTTTCCCACCTCATTTTTATTTTTTTATTTTTTATTCTTCTAACTTATTATTGTATATGTTATTTTATTGTATTTTATTTTTACTCATTTTTATTAGTATAAAGATTCAAAAGTGTATCGACTTAATTAATATCATTTAACCACCAAAGGCTAGTGGTACTTTTTCCCATTTTAAATAGAAATTTGAAAGTCATGCGAAGTGAGTGTGTTTCTTATCTATTAAAAAATATATATTAATATTATTTATTTTAAGTATTAAAATATTTTTAAAAATTAGATTTTCAACCACCACTACCCCTCACTGATAAAACATAACTTCAATTTATGGGTGTCACCTTTATTTATAATTTATCAATTTGGAAATCATATATTTAATATCCTTGTAGATGAATTTGGAAATCTCCTCCTCAATATATTGAAAACATACTTGTATACTAATAACATTTTCACTTGCCGCATACACTTCCACTTCTAAGCACCGCACCCACTGCTTACCTTATATACAGACATTAGCACAAAGATGCAATATAAGTAATGGCTAAATACAACATTATTCCAAAACATCCCACATATTCATGAAATTTATAAATAAAAAAAAGATCTCTACTCTACAATGTTCTAATCTATCCACTTTTATAAACTAACCAATGTTTTAGAATCCTCCTCTCTACAGCACTCTACAATTTCCAACACAAATGTGGAAGACTCTAAAATTTAAATCTCCACATATGTCATGCAGACCGTCAGCACTCGCATGGCGCATTCGAGGTCCCAACCTACCTCCATCTTGGTCATCTTGGTGAGGCGCACCTACTTAGGATAGACCCTCAAACTTATCCGATGCTGATAATAATTTTAATACATTGCTACAATGAAATTTATTAAAAAGAGTAATGCTATCAACAAGAGCCTTTCAAGAGACATATTTTCTCTATATTTAACTATTTTATTGAGACATTTTTTAAAATTCGTCAAAAAAATTTCCTTTCTATCTTATTATATTTACATATATATCATACTTTATATATATAATTTGGGACAACTCCGCATAAGACTAGTACACGATATAGACTGGGCCTGGGAGCATGCATTGGAAGATTTTATATTAGCGGCCTAGTGGACCGTTAACATCTGTTCTAAGACGATCATATTACTTTAGCACCGTCGCTAACAAAACACGCATTTAACCCTTTTTTTTTCATCTTAAGTTACTGTTATACTTTAGCTTATATCACTATATCAAATTATATTTACTTTTATAGTTGTGTAACTGCATAATAGTTTCATCAAATGTCGTTTATATTATTCAAATTTGAAAGTGTAAATTATCCAAAAATGTTAAATTGCAAAATCTTGTATTCTGAATACATGTTGTACAATGGAAAATTCTTGAAAATGTGAATAAACTAAATGCATTTTTTTTTTTTAAATATGTTCTTAGCAATAACAAAAGATGAGTAAAGTAACCCCTCTTAATTAACGCTCATAAACACTATTAAATTTGTGAAAACTAACGATAAGGTTGTTTGATAAGGTTGTTTTATTGTAACTCAAAAGTTAAATACCACATATATAGATGGAGCGAGAGAGAAAAAAACAAAATAGGACATTGATAAAACAAGAGTACCTCAAAAAATAGTAATATAATGTAGCGTGTGTGTATATATTTGCTCATTTTATCCACAGTATCATGAATTCAATCACTAATTTGGAGCAAAAGTTAGATGCTTTTTTTCCCCAAAATTTATATTATTTTTCTAAATAATCCATATAATAAATCTATTTTAAATTTGCATTAGAATCATATTCTTCTAAGAAAAATAATTATAAATGTCGATGTTTTTCCCAATTGTATCTAATTAGAAATTCAAATTTTAAGACAAATATGAGCATGTCCCTAATTTCACAGACAAATATTAAAAATAAAAAAATGGCACTGTGACAACTAAATCTCTTTCTAAAAATGTGTAATATTTCCAACAAAGATGCAAAAGAATGTAATCTTTAAAGAAACTACAAAATGAAACAAAAATCTCCTTTTATTTTACTTCACCCCATGTTGATGATGCTCAAATTATAGTTAGCATAATGCTACTTCGAAGAAATTTTGTTTAGAAAGAGCTGGTTGTTATTTAAAGAAAATATTGTAAAGCTGGTCAAAGGAAAGAGTTGAACCAGTGATCTCCACTTCATGAAGGTCGTTTCTTTATTCTTATGCATTTTTGTTATATGATATGAGGCATTATCCTCATCAGGAATGAAAAAGGACCAACTAAAAGCTGACAAGTGTTTCATGTGTTCTTTCGTAAGTGTGTGTGTGTGTTTGTGTTTTTTTTTTTCCAGGTCTTTTGATGTCACACATCTCTTGGGGTAGAGGTTTGATGACATTTACATATGTAGACATACGGGATATTGTAGAGGGCATCTCCTAACTGTGTGTAGACGGTGCGTTTTGAGCAAAACCAAAATCACAGAGGAGTTTACAAACAAAACCATAAGCACCGAGAGAAGAGTTTACAAGCCCCAACTATCTAGGTCAAATTTAACAATATGGATGATTTTGCACAATCCTTTAAATGCTGAGGCATTTACAATGACATATATGTGTATATATATATATATATTTCAGACTTTGGCCCTTAGAATGAAATACAGTTCAGACATTCGCCTTTAGCTCCAAGTGACTTTAGAGCCACCACCCATAAGTAAGATACACACTACGTTTCAGGCTTTGGGGTTCTATCCAACCTGAGGGATTCAATTCCCCACCAATGGGCTTTCCTGTTCATCTTCAATTCTTTCTTGTCCTCAGCCTCAGACGATAGATTTCAAGTTACTTACCGCCGGACTATCCCAGGTAGTTTTGCAAACTTGCAAAGCTTCTGAGGCTCAATATTCGTTTTAACTCGTTATCTTGGTCAATCCCAAGCATGATCATTATTCCTTTTCTGGAACCATTCCTACTACTGGAAATTTGACTTAGCTCAAAGAGTTTTCCCTTATATCACTATCAAATCAGTAGCACAAATACCAAATAATATATGAATTTCCCACCTCTTTTCCAGGCAAGCAACAATGATATAGAAAGTTTTGTAGTCCTAAAAAATGCATTTGATTTTTCTGATAATGCTGTCAACAAAAGCTTATTTACACGTATCTCTAATATATAATCACTTTCTGTTATGAATTTGGAGGGGCAATTACCGTGATATGTAAAGAATCCACAGAAACTCCGAGCAACCTACAAAGGCTATTAGTTCTCCAATTCGAGGGAAATCTATTTCAATGGTCGGTTCCATGTAACCACTACTTTTCTAGGCTCACTTAACTTGATTTAGCTGGTAACACCAAACTCAGCAGTGAAATCCCAGCCTCCGTCAGTGGTCTACCAGATCTTAATTCCTTCAACATTTCATATAACATGTGGTCCTATTCGTTTCTGGGTAATGTTCAGCTATGTGGGTACAGTACTTAAGCCCCATGTCCTTGCATAGCACCTTCTCTAGTTATCCCAGCCCCATCCTGGGAACAACCAACTTGATCAGGAAAAGAAGTGCATCAAAAACAAATGATGGTCATGCAGCAGGGGCGGCTTTTGGAGTAAGGGGTGAAAAGATGGTCTTATTATTGCCATATAGTCAGGTGCTAGCTGCTTAGTCAGGAACATTTGGCATTATTATCTTAAAATCTATCCACACTAGATCACTTCAAACACCATCAATGGACTAATAAAGGCTTAAAATCTCCATCACTGCAACCTTAATATTAGTATTAATTTTTTAATATGTGCAAGTGGTGACAAATATGAATTCAACTTCCTCCATTGTACTTAATTGTAATGAAAACTTTCTAATGCAGTTCGAGCTCTATTAAGGGGCCGATAGCTTAGAAGGTTTGTTCTGTATCTTCGGCCAGGGGACCTGACTGATGTGGTCCTCTCTAATTATATGGGGCAGTACAGCCAAAATGCATGTACGATGGATGCTTCTTAACTTGGTCATGTTGGGGAACCTGATGCAGGGCTTCGGGAGTTCTCTAAAGGCCGTCAGCCAGAGAAATATAAGAAGGGCCAATCACTTGTATTATAAATCTAGCAATAAATTACCACCATTTCTATGATAAATAAAATAGTCGAATTGCAGAAATTATTTAAATAGAACTAAATAAAACATTGGAGGGTTCAACTTGAAAGCGCAACATATTTCACAGATCTATAACTCTGTTGGATATGGATCCAAAGAATAGTAACCAATTTACCTTTCTCTCTAACACACTGAAATCACTCTCTTCCATAATTGTGGAGGTGATTGCCAAAGACAGTAGTCTATCATCATTGGAGAGCGCGATCTATCTATTTTGCCTCAATTGCCGCTGGAAAACAGAAAATTTTGTTAAACAACAAAATCTCCTACACAATATTATAATCCCTTTTTACCAAAATAATAACAACATAAGAATAATAAACTAGAAAAACTCTTTTCCCCCAATTATGCATGTTTTACATAATATATAGCTCAAATTGGTGACCATGGTGTGCAAGGGAGGGTAAGACTGGTCATTTTCATACTTTCAAGTCAACTATTGCCTACTGGTACTCTGGCAAACAGTAAAATAATATATAAATTGAAAATACTTACTCTAGGTCCATGATCGGCTGCCTGGGGCCGCCTATTGGTCCTTCTGTCTGATTCCTGTATCATCTCTGGACTATCAAGCTTATAAAATGTCTGCAGAGCCCTCACAACAAAAGGGCGTACTATATTTACTTCCATTGCTGATAGATTTTTAAGCTGCAATGTCAAATTTAAGAATTCAAAATCCTATAATAGAAAATTATTATAAATAATAATAATAACAACATAAAATAAGATTTTTTTATCTGCTTCTGTCATGAGGATTTTTACAGCCTCATTCTGGATCATTACTAGCAAGAAAATAAAATTTGGTAAAACAAATATGATGGAAACAATAAACAACAAAAACAATAACACGAAAAGCAAAAAAGTTCTTCACCCGTCATATACTTTGTGGGCAAGCAGAAGAGAACACCCACTTGAGATATTTTACTTGAACATACAGGCCATTTATTGCTGTAGTCATGCAGTACATTTATTAAAATACCAGACATCAGCATAAATAATTATTTAGATCCTAAAATCACTGACTATAGTTGATTCTGAACAGAGGTTGTAATGGAGGGAGAAATATCTGAATGTTCACGTACTAAAAAGGAAAATCATCCAGGTTTAAGCGAAATCTGTGGTTTGCTGGTGATTGCGAGTATCTGGAGATTACATTGTAGCATTGAATCTAATATCTAAAGGATGCCTAGTTGGAACAGTTCCCGTTACCAAAAAAAAAAGAGAGAGAGAGAGATAGAGAGAAAAGAAAAGGAAAGGAAAAGCATTGTCTCTGAAACAGACAAGATTCCACTTTGAAACTAATATATTAAAACAAGCTATTATTTCTTCCTAGAACAGACATGCCGGTTTTTATTTTCATTAAATGATGTGCCTGATAAACGCATACTTATAAGTTATGGCAGTGAATAGCAATAAATTTGTAAGGGAGAACATAAGTATACCTTTAAGGCATGTGTACGCTCAGAGATTATCTCCAAGCCAGTCCCAATTTTGTGAAATCTTACATCCTTGATGTCCTCAACAAGAGACTTTACCTACGAGAAATATTTACATCAAAGTCATTGTAGAAATCCAAATGCATGAATAAATAAGACTAGAAGCATCTCCAAACTTACCATATAAATGTCAGGAATGTCGTCTCGAGCACTATATCAACAAAAAAGTTACCATCAAATATGAATGCCCTCAGAAGGTAAAGTAGAAACAAAATGATATGTTAGACTACTTACTGGTCAAACAGAAGCCTCGAGATTTCTACATAATGAAATGGTAGTGGCTGAAGAAACCTTTCAGAGTCCCGCTCTGCTTCTAAAACCTGTGTCAACTTTTCTAGTTGACAAAGCATAAATAAGAAGGGAAGATTAATCTTAATTAAATTCCTATGAAGTACCTCAAAAATTAAAAGTCATATGAGATATTTAATTATAAATAAATTTTATAGTGCTTATTGAATAATCCAACACTGAGGATACTGAATTATTTTGTTCACTCGAGGATTATGTTTTGGCAAACACTGTGCAAGCACTGCATGGAGAGAAGATTATTCGTCTGTCATACCAAAATACATGACATGGTGGATAGATGCAAGAGCGATACGTCTGCACAGCTCAAAAGAAACACAACCTTAATAGCATAAACCACTCCCATTGTAAATCCTAATGGCAATTTGATCAAAGTTAAAGATAAATTTTCTGGTTCATGATTTCATACCAATTTCCAGTCTTAAAAAGTTAAGGTATAAAAACGCTGAGCAAGGTCTCATCAATAATAAATACTACCATCCATCCCATGTCCCTACCAGAAGTTCAACCAAATTATAAGCTCACTGCAAAATGTATGACTATTATAGCATCAAACTGAATACGTCACTGAAATTATTTTAGCATGTGCAGCAAAGGCATTATATGCCACGGAAATAAATGTGAACATGGCTCATATTATCATTTTCTATCATATAGTTTATTGTCTACTCTCACTATATACAAAATTTGGATTTACCCTAGTTGAGCATGAAGATTCACGACCATATGGACATAGGCACTCTTTAATATTCTTAATAATTTTTTGTACTATACAGAACCACGTTTAAATAAAAATTAATAGACTGTTTGGACTTTTATAGTAGTCTGGTGGATTCAAGAACAACAAATTGTTAAAATTTTTGAAACATGTTATATTTTTTCAAAAAAAAATTGAGTGAAGTGAGCCTACATGTGTATAATTTGAGCACCCCATATCAATATGACTCAAACAAATTTTAATAACTAATATATTCTTTTAGGTTATTAAAGGACTTCAGATTTAACAGACAACTAAATTAGACATGTAGCAAAAAATTATTCAGTTAAACCCAAAGGAAATGAGTTTAGAATTAGAGATTTTACTTATGCTAAAAAAAAAAAAAAAAAAGGGTTTTATCCAAAAACACAAACTCACCTACTGACATCCAATCTGGAGGTCTAATTGTGCATTTCCCTCTCCTCTTCAAGGCCACAGCGAGCCAAAGAGGTACTTGAGTAGCTATCTGTGGACGAAAAGGGCCAAAATCCCCCTATGAATTGAGACAATTTAAAACACATCAATTCATATAACCACACAAAAATATACATTCATCTACACACACACACACATATATATACATATAACGAGGTAGGTTAAAAGTGGAGAAGAGTACAGAGATAAAATTGAGAGGGTCCATTCTCATGTTCGGGACAATCTCGACCAGTTCATCTTCGGCAAGAAACTCCAACTGCGTCACGGAAATTTCAAGATCAATACTTGTACGATCCAACACAACATTTCAGCATACCCATAGAAACAGGTAAAATGAAGAAAATATGTGAAATTTTCATGATATACTGATCTTAACAGATAAATAAAAATTAAAAGAATATGAACGATACATATATATACATATAGAGAGAGAGAGGGACCTCAGCGGCTGAAAATGCTGAGCCATGAGGGTCAGATTGGCTGGCCATATCTGGAAATTCGAACAGATCTGGTGCTAATTAGGCTGAATTGCGACTGCAGGGATACGAGTTGATCAATTTGACAACAACAAAGAGAGAAATTGCGAATGTGTGGAGAAAATTTCAGATGAATCGGAGTAACAGCGACTGTGAGTTGGTAAGCCCTAGTATCTGATGGCGGGAATATAGTGTGTTTCGCTCATTTCAGAAGAAAATTTTAAGTAGTGTGGGTCAGTGTCGCCTGTTTCATAATTAATTTTTAATAATTTGCGCCCAAAACAACAGGGTGATTGTCCGCGAAAACTATTGACCGCGTTTGGATAAGAAAGCATTTGAATATAATGAAATTTATGGGAACCTTTTTTTTTCTTTAAAATATAATGAAATTTATGAGAACCTTTTTTTCTTTGAAATTTACCATAACTTTTTTGTTTGGTCCAAATAGGAAATGGCAAAGAAAATAAATTTTTTGAACACTAGAAATTTAAGAAAAAATAATTTTCTATAAATAACTAAATTTTTATTAAAAAAAGAAGAAAGCAAAAAAATTTTGAACACTTTAAACTAAAAATATTTTTTTTCTTCGTAATTGACTCACACGCCTGTGACCGGATGTGTCGCCGCACCACAATCAAGTTTGGAGAGTATTCATTAAGACGAGAGCCAAGAGTTTTACATTTATAGAAGCCACTACTACCTTTTACTATAAATATAGTTAGGGCGAGTAGGGATCGTCCCAAGGGATTGTGAGGGTCGAACAAGGTTGTGGAATTGCTATTAGGGATTGTGAGGGTCGAACAAGGTTGTGGAATTGCTATTAGGGCTAGTAGGTCGAGTAATCAAATAATTGGTTGGTTGGTTGATTAGACTAGAGAGCAACTAAATAAAACTAAGTGATAACAAAAGAATGCAATTAAGAGTAAGTAAGAGAGAGAAGAGTCTTGGAGTTTAGAGATCACCACCAAGCAATGCATTTCTATACCATTGACAAGTGACTAATGAGGTCGAACAAGGTTGTGGTGTGTTGCAATATTGGTGTGTGTGTGTGTGTGTGTGGTTGATTCAACAAGTAAGGATAACTAGTTAAGCATGTATTGTCTAAACATCATGTGAAATACATAATATATCTAAGTAATGAAGCATATATTGTCTAAACAACATATGAAAGGCACAATAGATCAAAATAAGTCATTAATCATTTCATTAAGCTCACAATCCAAATACAACACAAGGTAAGAAACATATGCTACTTGCATTCAAAAGTATGGATCATCAAACAACAAGCATGGATTGTCCTCCCATTTAAGACTACACTACAACTACACTACATCTACATTACTAGCATGAAAATAAACTATGGGAGAGGCACAATCCATTAAGGAATAGGTATGAACCATTAAGAAAATCACAAGAGCATTCCATTAAGCACTATGTTTTGACAATCTCTAAATCTATAGCATCAATACACATAGACATGCATCAATAACACAAAATCTAGAGACAAACGCATGAACATCTATTCTAACATACATAGACACATGGATAAAATGAAATGATCAATTGAAAGCATTTAACCACATAAATCATTAAACAATCAAGATCTATATATGTCAAAGTGTCAAAACATTAATTACAACACTAATCCCTCAATAATATACAAGATTAAGATATAGAAAGCATGTTTGGGGCTAACTCTAGCCCCAAGAGGATATCTAACCACTCATGGTGATGTTGCTCTAACCCTCAAAGGCTAACTCCATGGAAGAAATCTGTTCCTTGGATGATGAAGAGTCTCCAATGGTGTCTTTAGCCTCCTCCTCCTCTAAGCTTGCCTCTAAAGTTGTATCTACCAAATGCTAAGTCTCTCCTCTCAAAAAGTGCACCATATTCCTTTTATAGGTAGGTCAAGTGACATACAAAATGAGCTGGGGTCGTGCAAAGAATATTCTCTAATGATTGGATAGAGGATGGATTGAACAAGCTGACTTTTTAACTTTTTCGCACTGGAGGAAGTTCGATCGATCGAACCTTGGACTTTGATTGATCGAACTTGGCTGAGATCCATCAAACTTAGGCTGGATCGATCCAACTGGTTGAGCTCTTTGGGAAAAGACAAATCCGATATATTTTGGGAGATATTTTTGGGAAAAGGACAAAAGTGGTTAGTGGGTGGTACAACTGTGGATAAGATCAATCATTTGAATAAGGACAAAAGTGTTCGATCGATCGAAGGGTGGTGTTGGATCAATTGAACTTTGGACTTTCTGCTTTAGGTCAAGGTTTGGATCTATCTTGAAGTAATGAGATCGATCAGTATTCGATCGATCAAACCTTGAAGTTGAATCGATCGAACTTTGTTGCTTCCCACATTTGGCTTCATTTGCTTATTTCTTTATCCACTTTGTTCCTTTCTTTGTTTAATCCCATAATTGCTTCCATTAAGCTCTTATTTGGCTGAGTTAGCTTATTTTCGAGATAAGTGACTGAAAATGAAAATAATTCGAAATCAATCTAAAACGGTAAAATAAGATAAATAAAGGTACTAGAATGCCTAAGCTTAAGGGGTTTAAATACGTACTTTTCAGCGCTCATCAACATGCAAGGCTCAAACCTCTGATCTCTCTTTGAAAAGTAGAAGTTTAGCCACTAGTCTATTAGTTATAATAATGTATTTTATATAACAGTGACAAATTACAATACGACACGAATTAAAAGGATTTGAGTTTAGCATAAATGGGTTTGGGTCATAAAATGACCGACGCGATTAACCCGTTTACTGAACTGTGTCAGGTTAGGATTGAGGGGTTCAACCCGTGTAACCCGTTTATGACCCATTTAACTTAACATGTTATAATCATGAATATATATGACATATATAATATGTTACTTATTTAAATTCAATTATTATGGATAGTTAAGTCATTTCAACATATACCTTGTCTATGTCTTATGATTTTTCTTTCTATTTTGAATATTTGGATTAATTATGACAATTTTTTTTTTCTTCTATTATTTAGTATTTGATTAAATATTAAATGTCTCGTTTTGATAAACATGTCATTAAAATGGGTTAATACGTTTACTTGTTTAATAAACGGATTGAGTTAGTAGTGATGATTCTTGACACGATTATTAAATAGATTGGGTTTGAGTTTACCTATTTAATATAATATCTTTACATTAACACGACACGAATACGACTCACGAACACGAATTGCAACCAGTAATTTTATATAGTGAGTTTAATGCCATTAAAACAATAAAATGATAATTTTTCGTATTTTTTGAAATTTTATTTTTCTCATTCACTTTATTTATTTATCTTTTTCTTTTCACTTTCTATTATTATTTTTTACAGAACTAAAGGGAGACTAATAGAAAAAGTTTGTTTCAAGTTTGAACATATATTAGTATAATTGGCTTAAAAGTAGTCAAATACCCACAAATAAATAAAATTGTTGTTCAATACCAACACCACCCCTAGCCAAAAGGATACATATATACAATTTATCCTATTTTTGGACAAAGACACCTCTTGTATGAAATTTCAACCAAACAATGCCTTAAATCTTCTGAAAAGATGAAATTACCCCTTAGTATTAAAATCAAATTTATTATAAAATATCAGATATAAGAAAAGACACAATTGCCCTCAGTTTATTTCAGCCACAAATTGGAGATTCTGACACTGGCGTGTGAAATTCACGTGGATGCGCGTCTGAATATCTGAAAACTGTCGTTGCCTCTGCTGCTACACAATGTAATACCCCTAATTTTAAAAGGATAGTCCTAGTATTTTTGATTAATTATTTTGTTACATTTTAATTATTTAAATTGTTTTTTTTTTTAATTACTTGAATTACTTGAATTATTTGAATTATGCGAATTAGTTGAGTTAATTGAATTTAATTTTAAATTGGTAAGTTGTTTAAATGACATAATTTTTATTTCTTTGAATCACTATTTTAATTTAATTATTTTTTTTCATTTAATGATTTAGATTAGGGTTCTTTTAAGAAGTCACGTATGTAGCCAACAAAGTTCATTAATTAGGTTTTTCTATGGGCCGACTAAGGATTTAGTGTGGGGTTTGAATTAAACTAGGGTTTTGTGTAAACCTATAAATATACGTAATAAGGTTCTACCTAGGGTTTTTAGAACCTAAACACGTCTGTGGAGGCAGAGAGAGAGCAGATGAAGGTTTTCAGTAGTCGGAGTTCGCCGGAGAATTTAGGAAGCAGCGGTGCAAGGTTTCAAACTGAGACCTAAAGGCAAGTTCTAATCCTATCTCTTTTCCTTTAGCTCGTGTTTTTTGCATGTCTAATACAACTCCAGGAAGATAAAAATGATTTAAATTAATCTGCATCTTCGTGTTTTTATTGTTTTATAACTGACCGACGTTGTATGTTTATGTACTGCTTGTTTGAGGTTTTCTTGTTCAACCTTTAATTGAATGCATGTAAATTGATGTATATAGGGTTTTAATTATTCTGGAACACATGGGAATACAGTGGAATTAAACTGGATAATAGGGTTGAATGCTTTAATCAGTGAGTGTTCAGGAATAAACAATTACTTCGTTCTAAGTTTTGTTGCGTAGGTTATGTTCCGATAGATAACTGGGTTTGTATAAAGAATTTAATTGTCTATTGAGCATACTGGAACTCAGTTTAGAGACCTAGAAGTCTTAGGAATGGAGGACAGTTCATTAGAAATTCACCGGACGTGGAGAAGATGAAGGAACAAAGGAGAGCCGGCTCTTGGAGCCAAAGAGCAGGCTCTCTTTTAAGTAGAGCCGGCTCTAAGGGGTCTTAAAGCCGCCTCCAAAGCTAGGAGAGCCGGCTCCAAGATGAGAAGAGCAGGCTTTTCTTTTGGTAGAGCAGGTTCTTCTCTCGAGTATGCGTTTTTCAGTTTTTCTGCGACTGTGTGGGCTACAGAACTTGGATTTTGGAATTTTCAGTTTTTGTTGGAAGCTATATTGAGGTGTTTGGAGATGTTCTAAGCTTGATTAAAATCCCTGAGAGAAGATGTATGTAAAATAGAGCAACTTTGTTTTAATGCAACAGTAAACAAAGGCTAAGTAAATCAATTTACTTTTCTGGATGGAAGGATTTCAAATTACTTAAAGTGTAGGATAGAAATTCTTAGTAATAAAATTTATAGTTAAATCTATCCCGGTGTTATAAAAATAAGCATATGGATATATATAATATAGTATGCTTATTTGGAACATAGTTGGTTTACGGTTTCCGGAAAGAAAG